GTGTTCTGTTAGGCATAAACAATGTGGCTTCAGCTCAAGCTGACCAGGAAAATGAGCCGTATATGAAAGAAGTATTCTAAATACAAATGTATTTAAACTATGAAATTCAGAGCTGGATTATGGCTGCTGGTTTGGACCCAGAGAGTGGGGCTATCTCTAATACAGCAAAATGCCATTTTCTTAAATACATGTTTTAAATGTATATCGAATGATTAAAAATAATCATTATGTATAATTATACCTATATATTTAATTATATATAAGCATTACAAAATTAAATTTAAAACATATAAATTTAAAATTCTTAGTCATAATTTGTTCTCAGGAACAAGTGTGGTTGCACTTGAAGAAAGGTATTGACATACTGGAGAAAGCCCAGAAAAGAGCAACAGTAATTATATAGGAAATGATACAGAATAACCTAGGAGGAAAGACTTTGTTTGGTTTGGTTTGGTTTTAAGGGAGCAGAAGGGAGATTAGTTTGAGAGAAAAGAAAACAAAAGGGAAAAATGATAACATTAAAAAAATATTATAAAAAGGAAAGTCTGCAAGTTGTCTAGGGTAGGACAGGAAGAAAGCTTAATTTACAGCAAAGAAATAGATAATACATTGGAAATAAATTTTCTAACTATCAGGGTAGTGAACAACCAATACAGGCTACTGAAGGGAGCTGTGGAACATTTTTCATTGGAGGTTTCCGAGAACAGGTTTGACAAACATTGGTCAGGTGTAGTAGAGGTATACTTGATCCTGCCTCAGAGCAGAGGGATAGATATAATGACCCCGTGAGGTCCCTTCCAGCCCTACATTTCTATGATTCTGTGAGCATGTCATTGCATCAGACACCCCAGCCACAAAAGCAGTTTGACCATAAAGACATCTATTTTAACCAGCATTCATTCCTGCCTGTGGCAGGGGGTCAGGCTAGATGATCTGTTCAGGTCCCTCCTGACCCTGGCTACTATGAAACTATGAAACCAGCTGGATTAAAGTTGTAACTTCTGCCTTGATTGATAGGAGGGAGGCTGGCTGCTGGCATCTTGTCACAGCTCAGGCTTTTGAGCAAAGTGATGAAGGTGAAATCAATGATGATCTAAGTTACACATCAGTAAGTGGATGTAACGTGGTGTATTTATGCACCAAAGGAGCAATATAAGGGGAGGACTGTAAGAGGGAAGGTGATCATATGCTCATCTATCACTTGATTTTACTGTTAAGTACTTCAGCCTTCTGATTATGTAAGTTACAGCAGGCTACACTCCCACTAATGTGAAAATTAGACTGCCCTCTCATTGTGGCCCTTCATCTTCAATTGTTGCAATCATCTGCATTAAAATTAAAGGTGTGATTCAGGGTTCATTGCTCAAGCTCTTTTTACTGCTGTGTGGGACATGGATGCTTGAAATTTAACATATGATGCAAGACATTTTCTGCCTTATTATTTGACACTGGAAGTTTGTGGTGAGTTAAATCCTGGTCTCTCAAGTCTGAGGGTAGTGTTATTGTGCCAACCCTGGAAACTAGAAACTGGCACAAGAAGCAAGGGGAAGTTCCTGTTTTTATATAGAAAATCATAGGGGTTGGGGTCACAAGCCAACAGGCCAAGGGGATGAAACACATAAAAGGTAAAGAAACATCAACAGTCTGGTAACATACACTCAGTACCTTAATTTCCCCTCCCACGCCACGCACACACACCTCCAGAGGTGTCCCCAAACAAGACTTTAGTCCCTAGAGCACTCAAACAGCAACCTGCAGCTTCCCCCAAGTCTGTTACATTTGAGCAGAGGTTAAAAATCTGTTCCTTATCTCTTGCTGCACTAATTGGCCACCTGCTCAGTTCGTTATAGTGTAGTCTGCCTTATGTGACAGTATATGTTAAAAGCCAATGACATAGTCAATACTGTAAAAAGAGAGGAAGAGAGAGTCCAGCTCAAAAGAATTTGATATCTAAATGTGGCAGGGCTGGCACAGTGGCACGACCACCCCTCTGACTGCCCTCCCTGGGTAATGCCCGGTTTTTACTGAGACTCCCACCTGCCATAACTTCATGGAAAAGGAATTGGTAGAATTGCCTCTATTAGAACTGATGCCTCGCCTGGTCTGGGGTGTCTACCTTATTTGACTTTTCACAGTCTTTATGTACTGGTTGGTGTGACCCTTTGGGGGCTCCTCCACCTCTATACTCCTGCCACAGGCCTCCATTATGTAAGTTACTATGTGGTCCCACAGGACTCTGGCTCCAACCATAGCATTCACTGAGCATTGGCTTGGTAGGCTTTCCCAGAGAGGCCCTCAGCAAGGCCCTTAGCAGTAAATCTCTGGGTTCATGCGTGGAATCCCCGACAGTTCATTCTCTATGGAAATAAAGAAACGTGAGCAGTCTGGCTGCCTCTCACCCACTTCCAGCATGTGTCTCGCCATCTGTTGTTTGGGCCCCTCTCCATTTATTTCTGGCTTCATTTTACCTCTGCCCATGAGGGATCCAGCCAATCAGAGATGGCGCTTTCTGTCCAACTGCAGGTCGTGACCCCTGCACAGGGACCCACATGGGATAAGTTGAGGGCAGGCTCCTTGCTGCCTGGGACGTGATGTTCACCTGGCCTCCGCACATGATCAGGGCAATTCCCGTCCCTGGCCAGGGCTTCCCCGCTGGCAGCCAGGTGTCTCTTCCCCAGACTTCCAGGCTGCCTGGTACAAATGGCAAGCACAGTGACATGGTGCCCGACACTCCAGCAGCAGCATCAGTTGCCGGGAGGGACCTTCATCGTCATGCAGATAAGGGAGTGGATGTGAGTAGGGGACTCTCTCCTCCTGACCCCCTCACCCTGTTACACTAAGTTAGGCTCATAATGACCCAGTTGAGGATCACACCCCATAGTAGTGTCTTCCTATCAAGTTCCCTTCTGTCTTGTTTTCAGTAGATAACTTACAGCCATTCTTGTTGTTGTTTGAACCTTGGTAAGCATTTTTACTTTTCCAGGAAAAAAATAGTTTATTTGAGTCATGGTGATGTAGATGTCCTTGTTTCTGTATAATGGGGCTGTCAAGATTGCAGCCTATGGGTCAGATCTGGCCCATGAGGGCTTAACATGCAGCCTGCAGGCTCCTGCCTGGCAGCTGTTTTCCCTAGTTACTCCTGCTGTTGCAACAGCCAGGGTCCCTGGGGCAGGGTAGCACAGCACGAGGGGGCCCAGTGAGCCTGCTGCCCGCATCTGGCAGTGAGGGGCCTTGCCCTGCTTACACAGTGGTGAAGTCCACCTTGCCACAGAACAGGTTGGGTTTCACACTGCCTGCGCAATGGGGAGGCTGTATTGGTCACAGTTGGGGGTCCTGTGGAGACAGTGCAATGTGCAGACCCTGTGGTATGTGGCCTGCACAGTGTGCAGACCAGGTCCTATGACCAGTGCAGCATGTGGCCCCCAGCTGCTCCAACATTGGACAGCCTTGCTGTTCAATGTTATTATATCATAGTAATTCATTTAGTTTTAGAACTGTAATAGATAAATGTGACTAAACTTCGGAAGAAGTTGTCTAGAAAAACAACCTGCCAGTCTTCCAGAGTGGGTATTTGTCACCTTTCTGGCTTCATTGCTGATCACTTCCCTTGACATCTGTTACCACTGGAAGGAAAAATTTTCACAATTTTTCCCTGTATTTCAACTGCTGTTTCATAGCATTTGTCCTTTTATCCTTCAATTATTTTGGTTAGCTTTGGTTAGCATGAATAGAAAAGAGAAAAGAAGTCTGAAGGGCAGATTTAATACTTGGAAAATAACCAGGCATTTGTTACTTACTATTGTGGCAGGTAACATGCATGGGTGACTATAACTGAATGAAATGAAAAAGAAACAAATACTTTTTCTGTATATTTTTTCCTTTTTTTCAATTGTCACTGCTATTGCCAATTTTGCTGCTTCCTCCTTAGAGTTGATCACTTTTCCCTGTATTTTAGTGTAAATATTTCAAATAGCAAGAAAGAAGAGAATTAAAAAAACACATAAATAGGAAACATAAAGCATATGATCTGACAGAGGTAATCAGGAGCATACATAATAGCTGAAACCAGCTATTAAGTCAAATAACTTAAGTTGTAGACACAATAGAAACAATCTGTAAACAGCACTTAAAAGCAAATTTATTAAAGTTTTAGGAAAACTAGAGTACAGAATGCTCAACTTCAACATAAACACCATCCATCATGATACAGTGCTCAGTCTGATCTTCCAACTCCTTGAAAACATTTCCCAGTTGCTCTTAAGTTACTGCACTAATTGCATTGGTGATCCTAGCCCTAAGTTCCACCAAAGAACATGGTTTTGACAAGTAAACTACACTTTCAACATGTCCCCATAAAAAGAAGTCCAGTGGCGACAGGTCAGGTGAGTGAGGTGGCCAAGCAATTGGTCCACCTCTGCCTATCCACTTCTCTGGGAAAACATCATTTAGAAACTGTTGTACATTCAGAGGGTAGTGGAACGGAGATCCATCTTACTTAAGAATAAATTTTTTATTACTTATGAAGTCTAGCATTGTATACTCTAGTTGTCCTAAAACTGCAATACATTTGTTTTTAAATGCCATTTACAGATTGTTTCTATCATACCTACAACCTAAGTTATTAAAGTTTAAAAGTGCACAAGGACTTTATGAAGACCCTGTATAATAAATCATGTCCATCTCTACAATCTTGATTGACCTGTCACTAGCAAAAGTAGGGGTGCCAAGTTCCCTATATATCTCCAAATGAAAAGATGTGCCTTGTACTGAATCCAGAGGATTAACACATCCAGGTTTTGGGTGAATACCAGAGTCAAAGGGTGGTACCTTTCCATCTCTTTGACTTTGTTTACATAAAAGGACATGTCTAAAATGTACATGAGGTATGACAAGTGCCAGAACATCTCTCAGCTTGAGAGATTTATGGTCAAATCTTGCATCTATGTGTAAAATACTATATGGTCTTAATTAATGGTGGGATTTATTGTGCCTTCTTTTAGGGTGGCAAAGTCAATGAAAGTCCCTGTGTATGAAACACCAACAGGATGGAGATTCTTCTCAAGCCTGATGGATTCTGGACGATGCTCACTTTGTGGAGAAGAAAGCTTTGGCACTGGTAAGTAACCAATAGACAAATTTCCCATTGATCCTTTGCAACAGTTATTCTCTCTTAGTTTTCTGGATACCAGTAACCTATGGTTCTTAAGTTATGGGTTGAGAGACGCAAAGTCGATTCCATATTAGAGTTGACCAGGAAATTTGGACAGTCTACCTTAAGCCTCTAAATGCCACATGACCAGTGCTGTAAAAAGTCAGCAAAATAGCAGAGTTTCAGTAGTAATAACACTTGAATGGCCTGTTGCTGTCCTTTTTGCCATTCCATACTATAACAGAAGAGGCCCAGAAAACGGTTCTCTGGTCTTACTGTAATGTAAGCTTCTCTTCATAGGGAGAAGCTTACATTACAGTGGGATGGGTTTTTGTGAGTGCGCAGATGGTTCTGGTTGAGAACCACTGTCATCATGAGGATCCATGGAGTAATTATATGGCTGTATGTATTAAATTGAACCTGTTGCAGGCATCCTTTCTGATGTTGTCTAATTTTCCAATAATATGAGTGACAAAACCATCTCTGTAATAAAGCTACTTTAAGGTATTCCACTCAGAAGCCACATTTTTCCAAACAAATTGTACCTCAACTGCCCCAGCAGCCAGTAAAGCCAACGTGTAGCACACAGGATGCAGAACAAATGAAAAAGCCACCATGAATGCAGAATGGCCAAAGCCATTGTGCAAATATGTAAAGTATGCAGTATGATCTGTAAGTCTTCAGGTTAAAGGTATGTTTGGGATGTGAGAATAACCATTAAAAAGTGTGTGTTTGTCTCTTCTGTATGTCAAGTGGCTGTTCAGGAGTTCCTCATAGGGTAGGGTTTTTTGTTTCTTTTTTAAATTGGCTTATGTGCAAGAATTTTTTTTTCTTGTACTGGGAGTACACCCAGATAATTAAATGCATAGCCTAGCTGGTTAATTATTTTATATTATGGTTTTAATTCTAGGAAGTTATTTGCTGTGTGGAATAACTCCTCTGTTACTACTTTTCAAGGAAAGCAAATACCATGCAATGGAATGTAGGTAACAGCATCATGCTGATTTGATTAGTTAAGCCCAATGATAAATATGTTGGGTTAGTTAAACCACAGATAACCTTCTGATCCCATTACTCATGTTGAACAGAACCTAATTCCATGAATAGTCTCATTGGCTTCAGCAG